AATTAGTTAATACCTTGTCTATCAATATAAGAACAGTAACAACATTTAGAATATTGAAATATTTCTTTTATTATTTCATTATTTAAGTTTTAAAATTTTATTTAGTTATATTTATAATCTCTTACACGTTTGTAATATCATATTTATAGTTTGATCTCTCACACGTTTGTGATATTATATTGTTAAAATAATCTAATAAATTAAATTTATAATATTTTACTTATCTATAAATCATTATCGTAACTATCTTATTAAATATATATTAAATTATAAAAAAATTTCTTAAGTTACTTTTTAGTTGACTAGTAATTTAATGAATATATGTTATCATCTTTAGTTATTTATCTTATTTCTTCTATTTAACTTGAAACACGTGTTGAGCACATAAAATGATATGATATATTTGAAACCCAAGTAAAATAGTAACAATATAAAATAGTTAATATTAAAAATAAATATTCAAAAAATTATTTAAATTTAAAAAATTATTTTTGATTTTTATAATTTTAATTCATTTTAGTTACTTTATAATAAATATTTATTTTGCTATAGTAATAATAGCTATAATTATAAATAAAGTTGTAGCCAAAAATAAAAGCTATAATTTAATATAAGATATTTACTAATAATAATAATTATTTAAAGAGATATATAAAATTTAATAATCATAAAAATAAAAATAATTTAATTGTCACTAAGTAAACTTTTAATTCTTATTAAATAGTATAATTGAAATTAAAATTATAGCTCTTACTTAGAATTACAAATTAATATATAATAATATATACTGATTTTTAATCAAACTTGAATCAGATTCGAATTGTACAATAATTCAGTTTGAATTCAATTTGAACTTCAAACTTTTCTTGAACTCAAGTCAAAGTTCAATTCAAGTTTAATTCAAATTTTGAATCAGATTGAAATTCAGGCAAAAGTCTGATTTAGTTCAGTTCAATTTATAAGAATACTAATCTGATATATTAATATTATTATTTCTATTAAAATATATTATAAAAATATTATTGGTATTTAAAATTAATAAATTACTTAATAATCTGTATTATTATTTTAACAAATAAATTTCTTAATTATAATCACTTACAAACAGATCTGTATAAAATACTTAAATATATGAATAAAAGCATTAATAAAAAATATTGTATTTGTATAAAAATCTATTAAGCTTGCAAAATAAAAAAATATATATTTAATTAGTTTTATTGTATAATAGCAAAAATATATCAATAATATTTTTGTATTTTAATATGTGTTAATATTAAATTTAAGTATATAATACTTGACAAATTAAAATAATATTATATATTATTTGTAATATATAAAAATAAGTTATATTTTAATTAATTCTTTTGAAAATAGAAATAAATATATAAATAGTATATATCTTAACTCAAAATTATCAGGCTCTATAATATATATAACTTATTTATATCAAATTACATGATCACAATTTCAAATTTTAGAAGTTGATTATTTCTATTTAAGTTATTATATGCAATACCAATTAGAATTTACATAAAAAAATAATAATGGATTTTTGCATAATAAAGTTCAACTAATTAAAAATAACTATCAATATAATCATATGACTTATAACATGTTTCAAATTCACAATAATATATAAAAGTAACAAAATTGAATAAATATTACTATATGAAAAATTAAGAAAACTGAAATTGGCTTTCATAAAATAAAAGTTAATAAATAACCTATTTTATTAATTTATAAAGAATTCTTTTAAATATATATATTTTGTAAAAGTGTGAAAAGATTTAAAGTTAATTAAAATTCTATTGATGTAACTAGATTGTATATATCACATAACTTTCATATTATTCAATAAATATAATTATTACATTTTCTAAAATTATGTTAACTTGTTAAAAAATTATTATAATGTTATATTTTATTTTTGTTTTATTTTTTTTTGTTTTAGTTTTCTTTATATTCAAAAATATGCTATTAATATTCCTGAATTGTCTAATTCTTTGATTGCGCTTATTCAAGAATGATCTTTTTAGACTTAACAACAGTAAATTATAATTAACTTCATATTCTTTGGAATAAGATTGCATTTCGTTTTCCTCTTTTAAATAATATAGCTTTAGATTATATTTGGTTATCTATTTCTTTCTGTTGAAAGAAGTTTTTCAGCTTATATAATATTTTAGTAGATAATCGTCAAAATTTAAGTCAGGAATCTTAAAAATACTTAATATTATGTATTTAATTGTTTTAAATAATTTTTTTAAATCCAAACCAAATTTTTCCGGGTCCCTGCGGCGTGCTAACTCATCAAAGGGTGCAGGTGCACAACAGGAATTTCGCTAGGTTCTACACAGACAATGTCTTTGTGTACCTAGTAGTTACCCAACTCATAACATTAATGAAGTCCTGATGATATTACCAATATTACACATAGGTCTATGTTGGTGCTCTGTATCTAGATATAAACAATATCTGCAGAAGCTAACTAATGATCAAAGGGTGCAGGTGCATGAGTTGCATTGTCCGGACATTCTCTAGGATAGGCGCGGGCATAGTGCGAACAATGTTTTTTTGGACCTAGTCGACCGTCGGCATGCTAACTTGTCAAAGATGCAGGTGCACGAGTTGCAACATCCAGGAATTTCGCTAGGTTCTTTTATTTTTGTAAAAGAATTTATGATATCCTTGTCAATTATTCATATACCTTACTTTATCATTTGTTCATAGGAGCACGACAACGCATTTTTTGATTCGAGCGTTGAAGATTATACGTCCGATACTTATATAAAAATTATCCGTGACGAAAAATCAATCTGAAGTCGATAGCTTTATTAAATCAAACATTATTTTTTTAAAAATAAAAATTTTTGCTTTAACTTATTATTGTTGAATACGTTTTAATTTTCCAGCTTTAATTCGTAATAATGCATCACAGTTGTCTGGAGGATCTTTTTAATTAAAAATTGTCACGTTTGAATTTTAATGCGAAAAAAGTCGATTCTGTGAATCTTGCGAAAAATAGATTCTTGTAATTAGCACAATAAAATCCATGCGACTAGATTTGATTTTCAATTCCTAATTTTTTCAAGCAGAAATTTAATTAAATTATTTTTAATCTACAAGAGAATTTTGCTTAGGGAAGCGTCTCAGCACCTGATTTTTTAGGGGAGGGGTCAGAGCGAATATCAGGTTATAATATAAATGATGTATCCCTAATATTTTATATGTCCGGGGGGAAGGATGGTAAGCCTCATAATAAATGGAAATCACCTCCCTTATAAATAAAATATCATTTACATCAGATTAAATAAAATATCATTTACACCAGATTAAATAAAATATCATTTACATCAGATTAAATAAAATATCATTTTCATCAGATTAAATTACATAACATGTAAAAGAAAATGATTTGTTTACAATAGAATAGAATACTTTAATTAGAAGAGAGTAAATATTAAATTAATATCTTCATTTTTAAATAAACAAATAGTTGCGTACAAAATCAATATATTGCTAAGCCTATCAAAACTACTATTATAAACAAAAATTTTCAAACTCATAATACATCCTTTAGCCACTCGGCTAAATCTCGAATAGCATTTACTCGCCGGTCCTCTTCCCACATCACAGTATAATTCAAGAGTAATTCGTGTGCAGAAAGTGAAACTTTATCAATTGCATCATGATCGGCGTATTTACTTCCTATAAAAAAAGGAGCGCAATTAGTGTTGTTTTGTATAATATTAGTTTGTTTTTCTTAATTAACATACCGTCCAATGCATCCTCAAATGCATTCATGACAAAGTCATATTCGTAGTTTGATGTAGTTAATCCGGCAGCAGTAATTAGACCATTTCTTGATTTAATAAAAACTTTCTATTCATCAGATATTGCGCCAATAAAAATTTTTAACGAAATTATGCTAAGGAAAAGAAGGAAATTGTGATAGTGAAAAAATATGTTACCACGTGTCCCCAGGGAAATTCGCGTTCCAGCTCATGCGTGAATTCTGGTGTTTGACCATATGTCCATTTCCAGCTCTTTAATGATAAATAGAATTGAAGTTGATATGAGAAATGATAATTGAAGAAGACTGCATTCGATGATTAGCAAAAACTAATACCTTTAACTCATCGCGATACTCGAGTATTTTAGGAATATTTGATATGTATTGATCATCTATTATCATTAGATCTAGATTTTTCTTTAATTGGAAGGAATTAGTTATTAAATTTCATATTCCTTATAGTTAAATTGTTGAAAGAACCTCTATGGTGATAATACCTTGATAACAGTAATCTCCTCATCAGCAGCATAAAAATAATACTTTAGAAATTCATCATGAACCACTTGACAGAATGCATCATGATTAATAACAAAAGGACCAGACGCGGATGTGTATTTTTTCAAATTTGTGACTGGGGATCGAACGGATTCTACGCCTTTGGATATTAAATTTTGCTGTTGATAGATATTTCAGTAAATAATTTTATTGAACGCTTAGTTCAAATAATAATACCTTATTTTCGGCACGTAAATATCGTCCAATATCATTCAAATCCGATTCAATTAACATGGTTCCATGATGATAAGCTCGGTCATTAATTAATTTAAACGCTGAACCGGAAACGTAAAAACAAAAAATTCATCCAAGTCAAAGATAAAAATAATTAATAAAATTGACATTAACAATTATCAATTATACAAGCGAAATAAAAGGGATATCTTTAACCCATCAACAACAATATCGTGTCGCTCATTAACATATGCCCTCCGAATCCCAAATCCATCACGTATTGCCTTGGCCACAATTTCAGCGTGCTCACGACGTGTAAATCGTGCACGTGGCATTACTACTGTGTAGTTTGTATTGCCATGGTCCTACAAAAAATAAAAAAATCAATTCATTCACTAAGAGATAAAAATCCTTTTTAAATTTTCGTTATTTCTCACATGATAAACTGCTCCGCCACCACTTTTTCGCCTTACAAGCGGTATGCCATCAGCACGTAGTAATCGCATATTACATTCTTTCCATGGATTCTAAAGATTCAATGATTTACATTTCTTCATAACAACTATTAACGTATCGTATTTATAAATATGTGTACCTGATTCCGACCAATCACCACACATTTTGTATTTTGCCATAAATACAAAAAAGTCACATCTCTCTCTTTACTCTTTTCTTTGTTATTCTTTTCATATGACGAAATTTGCATATAATCACGGAATAACCTTTTCTTTTCATTAAATTTACAAAATTCATATAATCAGGCGCATCAAATTAATAATATCCTTTAATTTAAATGATTCTACGGAAAAGACTTTTAACACACCACTCTTCAAATGCCAAATTTGTCCATGGATCTTTGATTTTCGATATAAAGCATTCGAATCGTGTTCTTGCCAATACAGGTTTTGATGATAATTCTGATTCTGGTATCACTTTGTTGGGATTCTTACATATTTTGAATAATTCGATTAAAAACCTACGAATTCATACAACAAAAGTACCGAAGAAAGAATCAATACATGTTCCAAGCCAACAATAGAGTTTTTGGTTGCAGTAGTGGAATATCTTCTAGGTCCCAAGCCGTAAATTTTCGGTAAAAACTTGAAACACTGCATTATGAACATCAAAATTTTCTTAATGACAAGTCAACGACCAATAAAATATAATGAATGGAGCATTGCATAGTTTATTTTAAATTATCTATAATATCTATATAATGGAGCCTAAGAATAAAGGAATTAATATTTTCTTATCCAATTTCTATCACAATTTAAATTTTTACACTTTTTGCTAGATGTTTCTTGTAATCTTCGATAGTACTATCCCAAGGTGTGACCGTCATATCTTTACATAACCAGATCTGCTCAGCGACTTGCGATATTAATCGAAAGTCGTGGGATACTAGTACAACACCACCAGTAAATTCTTTGATAGCTTGGGCTAGAGAATCAATACTTTCCATATCCTAAAAATAAACAATGATTTCATTATTAATTTGCATGTCTTTAATATTAAAAAAAATATGATAACACCTAAAAAATAAATATGTATAGCTTTACGTACCAAGTGATTTGTCGGTTCGTCCATTAGAATAATGTCGGGTGTCATTAGTACAATCTCAGCGAATACCAACCGAGTTTTTAGGCCGTCACTGAGTGTACCAATTGCTGAGGTTTGATGAGCTCCAGTAAGCCCATATCGACCAATTTGACTTCTCCAAAACTATTTATATTTAATTCAAAATAAATCAGCTTTTTTTTCCATAAATGATATCCAATTGTAAATATAATCGATAAAAAAACTCACGTCTACATCGCCATTAAGATGAGCAAATTTCTTTCTCATGTACTGAATTGGACTTAAATCCATTTCAAGTTGATCAGCACTAAATGCAAAAAGATATCACGATTATTCCGTGTTAATTCTATGCAAAGAAAAATAGCAAAGTTTCAATTAATCAAACGTCAACATACCTGTGCTGATTATATTTCGCCAATTTCAGATTAGTATGTCTAGCTATTCTTCCCGAGTTCGGTTGTAATTCTCCCATCATCAATTTGAGCAAGGTACTTTTCCCCACACCATTAGGCCCAACAAGAGCTACACGAGAATCCATGTCAATTGCAAGATCCAACTCTTCATACAAAAGAGTTTTAGATTTTTTATCATAGGAAAATGATACTTGGTCAAATTGCAAAACGGGAGGTGGCAATTTCTCGACGTTGTTAAATTTGAATTTGAAAAGAGCGGGTGGATCAACCTATAAGGGAATAAACACACACGCAAATTTAGTATGTTATTTCTAACAATTTGGAACCAATAGGTTTATTTAGGTACTCTGTATATACATAGAAGAAAAAAAAACGTTACCTTTTCGACCAGACCGGCTGCTTCCATCTTATCGATAATTTTTTGTTTACTTTTGGCTTGTCTAACCTATATTTGTTAAATATATCAATAATTATATTTAATACAGCTCATGTATTAAGAAAATATCGATAAAATATTAAATAAAGACTTACCAAATTGGCATAGGTACCAGCCGACGCGATAAATTTTTTAATGTGAGCAATTTCCTCCTGTTGTTTATTATATGCTTTCATTTGATTTGTTTCCTATAAATAAATACACATTAAATATTATATATGAGAAAAATATCTATACATTGAAAACAATTTATCGTAAAATATTTACCTGTTCAGCACGGGTACGAACATACACATCATAATTACCACCATAATAAATCAATTTTTTATGGTGATTAAGGCTATGCAAATATCGAATAAAAAACGATTAGTAATAATGAACATAAAGCATAAAGCGTATTTAAAGAACAAAAATTACTTTATAATGTTTGTGCACACTCCATTCAGGAAATCTTGCGAGTGTGAAACTAGAACAAGAATACGATTGTAGTTTTTCAGATATTCTTCAAGCCACACACAAGCTTCCAAATCCAAATGATTCGCTAAAAATAAAAATAAAAAAATATTATGATTCTAGACTCGCTCGAACAAAATTCTTCTATTCGCGTCTATTCAACTTACTTGGTTCATCCAACAACAGTAAAGTAGGTCTGATGAATAAAGCCTTCGCTAACGCAACCCTCATTCTCCATCCACCAGACATATCTTTTGTCTTTTTACGCATCATCTCTTTTGAAAACCCTAAACCATAAAGCAATGTACTTGCACGTGATTCAAAAGTTGACTCGTCTAAACCTGAAATACGATCATACAAATCTTCCAGGCGTGTATCATCAGCGCCATCTTCATCCGCAAGCAAATCTTCTACCTCTCTTTCAAGACTGAATGAATCGAGTTTTGTGGGTTAATGTAAGGTAAATTCAAAAATTAATGGGATTAACAGATATGATGGTTATTTACATACCGGATGACTTCATTTCTCGCAGCCTGAATTACATATTCTGTGGCATTTAGATCAGTGGGTTCCGCTTCTTGATTTAACAGATAGATCTACAATTTATAATATCAAATTATGGTGAGTTATTTTATTTATTGCGAAAACAGGAAAAAAAGTTTACAAAATAAGGGTTAAATTTATTATTTAAAAACTTACATCAATATGCTCGGGAATCGGAACTTCTCTTGCTGCCAATGACTGCAAAAATGTACTCTTCCCTGATCCATTAGCACCAACAAGACCATACCTATGGTATTCGATGATATCAAGAAATCTCCAGTTAATACAGAATTCAAATAATCTTTTGTGATCAATTTTACCTAAGAAGGGAAATACAAATCAAACACATACCTTCTACCAAAATTAAAATCGATCGATGCGTTTTCAATCAATACACGACCAAAGAACGACAAATTATACTGCTCAATCTTAATATCACGCGATCTGAGCTGCGTACCAAGCACACCAGTTGCCGTGCGTTCACTCGACAACTTTAAGGCATCTAACGTTGTACTCAAATTTTCCACAGATGACGTTGCTGAGGAGTTTGATAACGGCGTCACGTTTCCATTACTAGCCTTGCCCTTTTTAGTATTACCATTGACAGCTGGAGCAGCAGCCGATTTGGTGGGTGTTGTGGATCCAGCGGCATTTTTTGCTGCTTTCTTTGCCATGCGCTTTTGCTTTGATACAGAAGACATTATTGTGGTTATTTTTTAAATCTTTCTGTTGAAATGGTAGATTTGACCTTTTTAAATGGTAAACGAAGAGAAAAGGCTGATAACAGAAAACAGTAAAGAACAAATATCTAGGTGTGTATGCTCTTGATCTAAACAAGTCAAAATCCTTTATAAGTGGTTTCCCACGTGAATTTAATAAAGTCTAGTTGCATCATGTTGGTTTAATTGATATACTTTTTGCATTTTGAGGAAAATTTTGGTTTCACTTTTTAACAGGATTTACATACATTGTTGTTATGCACTTGTAAGAAAATATAATAATTTACAAAATTAGAATTTTTAAATTTTAATTATACAAATATAATTCAAGTTTTTGAAGGGAAAGCAGCTGATGCGGTCGTAGAAGGGGTAGAAGATTTCGTGACAGTAACAGTAGGAGCGCTTGCATTATTACTATTATAATTCTTACTCGAAGAATTCCCACCGAATTTCAATGCCAACACAATCACAAGAATAAGTCCAATAACAATCGTAATCGCCAAACAAATCCATTTCTTCTTTCGAGCAGCTTGTGCATGTTCATTAGCCTGTTGTATTTGTTGTTCAGCCATCTCCGTCTTTATCAAAGCCTCGTCGACATTCCCTTCTATATTTACCAGAGCTTCATCTTGCGCCTCAACCTGCAGCTGCATCTCTTGATATAGTTGAGCCAATTCCGCGATTGTCGCTTCAATTTGTTTAATATCTTCGTGACGTTTTTGCACTTCTGCTAATGCTTCACGCGCTTCACCGGTTCTAAGTAGAGCTTGTTGAAATACAGCTTCATTTGATGGGTTTGCTAGGTAATTACTAATTTCTGCTTCTGTTGCATCGGGATTCACTACTCGATATTGTCTCCCTAAGCGTTCCATGTGTTGACGCATATATTGATCTTCGAGTCCACGGTATTCTTCGAGAATCTGATTGATTAAAGAAAATTATAATATTGTTAACCATTAGCTATTAAAGAAATCAAATAAAAGACATACATTTGTAAATTTCTCTTTAAGATATTGATGTCGTTGTTTACGTAATCCAAACTCAGGATTCGTCGATGAGATACGCGTATTTTCATATTCAATCTTTTTAATACGATCCTTCACATGGAATAATAATGTTCTCGTGGAATTGAGTAAATCATCACGTTCACTCGCGAATGATCTTGTTTGAAAAGCCGAAGTAGATATTAAAAGTTGCGATTGAAGGTCTTTGATACGTGTTATGTTTTTTTGAATATTGGCGATACTTTGTTCGATCTGTGAGATTTCCGTGAGGAATGGATTATTTGGTTCTGGATGAGTTTTTGATGCCATTATTTATTATGGTGATATTATGTTATACAAAAGAAAGGTGAATAATTGATGTTGTATATTAATAATGAATTTGATAAAAAATTTTATAGTGGAAATGGGATATTTTTGACTTTTTTTATTTTTATTTATTGCTCTTCTTCTATATGCTGCTTTCTTCCCCCGTCTGTATGTTCTTTGCTGTTTATCGAAGCTCTTTACAACGAAAAGCGACAAGAGGAAGTATATATTAATTAGAATCAGTTACTGCTATACTATAAAAAGTAAGTAAGCGAATAAACAGGATTGTGGATGATTATATCTTCTCTAACACAATGTTAGTTAAATATAGTATTGATGAATCAATGTCTTTCCTCTAAAGCAAAAATCAAAAACGAAAAGTAATCTTTGCTTAGTCGCTCTTTTAAAAATTACCGAAGAAATTAAAATAATTCCCCAATAATAAGTGGCTATGAAAAAATAAATAGCAAATTCCAAGCATTTAGTTATTGAGGCTTCGTTAAGTTACTTTCTAGTACAAGCCTCACTGACTGACGAAAAAAATCAATCAAAAGTGTTATGGGATGGCGCGGTTTCTCTATTTTTTATTTGGCCACGACACTACTCATTAGAGTTGATTCCTTCTTTGCACTGCCTCATTCTTTGCTAAGAATTTCGGTCATATTATCGGAGTTTATACTACTCTGTTGGTGTTAAAGACTTTCATACTCTGAGTTTTATGTAAATGGAAAACAACAGTTTTAAATTTATATCAACAGAAATAAGACTTTTGGACGTTCGAAGTAATAATTGTAATAAGAATTTATATAGAAACAACAGTAATAATGAGAAAATGCAATGAATGACTTTTATTTAAATACTGTTTAAAATAACTAACTATCTATCATAATAATAATAGATATTCAATTCTCGAACACACTTGGATTCAATATTTTGATACTTTTAATTACTTGCACTTGATGACTTTACTATTACAATGATTCAATAATGCACGATTATTTTTATTTCTAAACTTAAAACCGGCTATTTATGATTTTATAATCAATAATTTCTTATAAAATGAACCATTAACTAATTATCGTTATAACAAAATGGATCTTGTATTTATAAATAATTCTTTTTAGGATAATACATGTAGATAGTATCGGCATTAACTAAATCGGAAACTATTTTTTAGTCAAATAATAGTATGCAACTATATAGGAGGTGATTATGTAAAGGATGACAATCATAAACCCCATTAAAACAATATACGTATAATCAATATATTATATCTGTTATAATTCATATTTACCTAGGATTGTTAATCAATTCTAAATTAGTTCCAACAATTTAAAAAATTACTAATTCTAGAAAAGCCAGGAAAAGTCAAATTGCTTGAATATAATAAGTAACTCAAAAATATTACTATAAATAAATTTTATTAATGATTTGTAAATAAAAATTATTTCCAAACTCAATAATTTTCTGTAACTATTTTGGTTTTGGAATGATTCCAAATTCATTACAAATTTTATATTTAAAAAATTCTGATTTTTCAAGAAATTTTATTACTTATTTTCAATAAATAATTTACACACTCCTACAGTATATTACTGGAAATTGATCATGCAAAATGCTGATCCAAAGTTTAAAAAACCAATTTTATTGGCATTGTACATAATAACACAAACACAATAATAAACAAAAAACAATCCCATTTTTTCTCTTTTTTATAATGTGCGGAAAGGAGTTGACAAACAAACAAAAGAAGCAAATAATCAACGCTTATCTTGCTGGCGTCAAAGGTCTAAACCTCACACTTAAATTCAATATTCCTCAAGTAACAGTATATGATACCATCAAATGATATAGAGAAACCAATTCTTCGCATCCTGAAAAACGTTCTGGTCAGCCAAAAACTTTGACCAATTATGAAAAACATACACTAAAATGAGTTATTCTAAAAAATCAGTTTTCTCCACTTGGTAAAATCACAAATGAACTAAATGGCAAACTCAACACTTCTTATCATGCTAATACCATCCACAATTACTTAGATGAAATAGGGTTCGGAAGCTACACTCCAAGAAAAAAACTCTTTTTGACTCCAAATCAAGAACTTCGTTGATTAAATTGATGCTGAGAGAAATATAACTGGAAAGCGCAATGGAAAAATATAATCTGGTCTGACGAGTCCAGATTCACACTTTTCAAATCAGATGACCGGGTAAGAGTATGGCAGAAACCTGGTGAAGCTTATCACCAAGCATGCATTAAACCTACTGTTAAATTTGACGGAGGGTCAGTGATATTTTGGGGATGTTTCAGTTGGGATAGGATTGGTCCTTTGATGCCAGTAGAAAAAACCATAAATTCAGATGTCTATATTAATATTCTCACCAATTATTTTGTACCCTGAACTCGCCAATATCCACATGTTACGTTTCAACAAGATGACGCACCATGTCACACCTCGATATATATGACTTGGTGAATGTCAACACATGGCATTCGACTTTTGGATTGAATTAGTCAAAGCCCTGATCTCAATCTGATTGAACACTTGTGGGATATTTTGGACTGTCAGATTCAAAAAAGAAGATCATTACCTACATCAAAGCAAGAATTAATTCGTATGTTACAAGAGGAATGGGTGAATATTGATTTGGAAACTTTGCGTGAGTTAATTTTGAGTCTACCTAAACGTGTAGACAAAGTTATTGAAGCCAATGGCAAAAGCACGCCATATTAATTATAGATTCTTAAATTTGAACCAATATAACTGTATATTCACTACTTTATTTTTCTTTAATTTATCGTATGTTTAATAAATACGATAATTTTTTATTTAATAATAAAAACTTTGATTCGTTGAATGATCAACATTAAATTTCCGATAATATACTATAGGAATGTGTATATAAAAAATGTTAATTTACATTAAATCCACTATGGAACCAAAGAATTACAGCACTATTAGAAGCATTCTAAAAAAGAACAAGAAAAAATTGCTCCATATGTTTTTAAAATAAATGATACCTAAACACTCCAGGAATATCTAGATAAAGAAAAAATCACTTATGAAATTTACCAAGAATGAAAAATAATAAATCATAAACAAACCTTAACCCCAACTTATAATTGTATCAGATCGTTCCACAACTTTTCGATTTCTGGCGAGTAAATTTTGTTCGTCGCCGACAGTTTTGTTATAGATTGTAACTTCATCGTTCGAATTAAAGCTCCCGTATTATTATGCCGACCATTACAAAGTATGTCATTTAGCAACAGGCCGAGAGCGAAACCAATAAATACTCCAAAAGAGAATTCGCTTGTGAACGTAAGCGTTTTTTGTAGTGTTATTAGTGGATGTTGACATATTTGTTTTATTGCTTTAAACGATGTATTGTTTCAACGATGTTTATTGCGTTGTGGTTTCATACACTGCGGACGATATTAGACAAACGCGAATTTCTGCAGGGGAACAATAGTTACATTGTGGAAAGGTCATTGATTAAGCCACTGATCAGCGTTAGGATATTAGATCTCATCGCGCAGCACATCTTTTTCGAACAAGTCAAACATGGACATCAAGCAAGCATACGATGATGCGAAGAAGGAGTATGAAGAGGTGAAGTTGAAGTTGAAGAGACTGGATGACCTGAGGAATGGAGCGCAGCCCAGTTGGACTGGCGAGCTGGCGAGCTTGGCGGGAAAAGAAGACAGTCTGGAGGAGGAGAAGCGGGAGTGGGGAAAGAAACTTCGCGAGCTTACTCAGCCAGGTAACGACTTTGTGACTCGGGCGTTGGGGACATAGAGTAGTGTGTACATAGGTTATTATGACTTTATCATGAATTCTACTTTTTGGTTCATCCAACTGTGTTGGGGATATAAAGCTGCTCTTGTAATATCTTTGTGACATTGACAGCCTATCTCACATCATTATCGTCCTTCATCTTAACAGATCATGATAAGCAAGATATTAGCACATCTTTAAGAAATTATTTCTGTACATCACTTTCATCTTTACCATCAATACCAAGTTTGAAAGACTACTTAACTCAACCATTTGAGAATAAGATACCAATTGAAAGTCATTGTTATAAGGAATGGAAACAAACAATTGGCGATATGGTGGATAATCATTTCATTAATGGTGATGTTGCAAGAGTTACCGGTAGACAGTTATCATATAAATGTCAAACGGCTTTAGGGCAACAATATAGTGGATCAGAAAATTCTCTGCTGAGTCGATATGATCGATTGCTTCGTGATATCTGGGATTTCTTGCGTCAGGTAAGTATTTGGCTTGGTTTAGATTACTGAGAATCTTGAGAGCTAACAACCTGTTTTAGGGGTTACCATTTTCATTGGAGATTGACCGCAATGTTGCAGACCCATCTGGTGCAACTATAAAATGTTCTCGGCCTGATGTAGTAGCCTGGATTAATGGGACTTTAGTCTTTAAGGCAGAAGAAAAGAACCTTCGATCAGAACATAATGTTGCTGTAAATGAACTGTCAGACAAGATGGAACAGTGGAATTATGCACTGTATGGTCAAGTACCATATATTCTCTCGTATGCTGGAGCACAAAATTTCTTCCAGTTTTTTGCTATCACTCCAAACCATGGGAAGTCTGAAATTTCACTGACTTATGACTTGAATACATACATAGGAGAATATATGGTAAGATGGGAATTTTTGTATTTGAGCTTCAATGAACTATACTGACATGAAGCAGGTTCTTGTCTCTTCACTCAACCTATTCCGAGTAGTAATATCACTGGCACAATTTCTGCCAACCAGATGTGATACACCATTATACAAAGAAATTTCTAGAAATAATAATACATATATTACTGTGTTATCAGAAGATAGTGTCTTAAAAGAAATACGGGATTTCAAAAATCATCAGTAAGTCTTAATTCTGCTTTACTCTGTGATGTTTCTTTTGTTTGTAGATAACTAATGGATCACATGTCTTAGTTATAGTGACTTTGACACTTTGGTTGAAGCATATAAGGCTGTACAAAATTCACCATTCTGTGTGTATTCAAAAGAAGGTCCGAGAATACAAAATTCAAAAAAGAGAAAAGTTCAGTATGGATCAGGAGAACTTTATTCAGTGCTGCTTACACCTGTATGTCATCATCGACGGCCTAGTAATGAGAATGAATTGCGTATTGCAATAAGATCAGTACTAAGTGGTTTAAATGAACTTCATAGGCAAGGTATGTAACAGTTTATTGTTCTTTACTTGTTTTGTATTTAATTCATATTAAACTGTCATTGTTTAATTGTAAAGGTATTGTACACCGTGATATCCGTTGGGATAACATTCTAAGACACAACGAAACTTGGCGCTTAGCAGATTATGAACACTCAGGACGTCTCGGGGAAGTACCCACATTTCAACTGCATAATTGGCCTTCCAATGTAACAGAAGGATACAGCAAAAAATGTGACCTTTACTTGGTTGGGAAATTGTTTGATGAATTTATGTTTGAGCTTTCAACTGCAGGTAGAAGAATCAAAGAACGTTTAACGAATCAGGAATTCCCAAATTGTGATAGTGTATTGAAAGATGAGTGGTTTAAAAAAGAATAGTAGTAAATAGTCTAATGCTGAAGATTGATTAGAATAAAGTTTCACAGAATTATTGAATGTATTTGAGTTTATTACAAATTGATTCTCAATTTATTGTCGATACTATTTATAAAGCGTAAACTGTAGTAGTAATAGATAGAATCATGGATCAGTTCAAGAGTAACGATCTTATAATGTACATAAACTGAGTAATTATTAGATATATAGCATGAAGTATGCTGCCAATACTATCCGTAAAAGATGGCAAAGTTATAAAATTTATATATAGAATTATCCGTATATGAAAAATTATAATTATAATAGTTCCACTAAATATAAAAACACCATGCATTTCCTAAAGATAGGTTGCAACTGTAGTTGCTCAAAAATAATTCTGAGAGAAAAGTTTGCTAAATTACGTAAAGCATTTCAAGCTCTTTCTAGATCTGAATAAGATATATTTTTAATGGTCCAGTTGAAAGCAATGAATGATGGAGAAATAATCACTAGTCGATGTTGTCATGAATCCTGGGCTCAGATAGGTAATCTTGTAATATAGGTGTTCAATCAATATCTATTTCAATAAGTTAATAATTTGATCAGGATCGTGATGTTATGTGGCTTCTTCTATTCTATTAATTTAGAATAGGTAACACTACTACTAATAAATATCTTTTTTGTATTTACTTAGTGTGATAATGATTCTATAACAATACAGTATTGATATTCTATAACAATCTGGTTAAGTGTCTAATAGTATATAAAAAAGTAAGTATTATAACAAGATTAATAATTATAAAATCAATTAATATTATTATTATTTTACCTTTTATTAACTTTATTATATTATATTTTTTAGTGTAGTAATATTTATTTAAACTTTTCTTTTATTTTTACTTTTCTATATTTCTTTTATTTTTACTTTTCTATATTTCTTATATTTTTGTTCAATTATTTTACATTATTATCACATTATTTTAGTTTAGATTTTATTATTATTTAATTTTATACTATTATCACATCAATTTATATTTTAAATCTTATTGATACTTTATTTTAATCTCTTGTTATATTAATTTAATTAGTGATATATAGATTTTACACAAATCTCTTTTTAATATTATATAATAATTATCATGTTCCAACTAATGATACCTAATGAAACTATTTTCATAATGATGAAATATTTCAGTATGTTATTTGTCAGACAAAACTCTTAATGATTGATAAAATCTGTGACAAGTGATGAAACTAGTGATGAAATCTTTTGATCAATAAAAATAATAGCTTAATCATATAATGATTGATGAAATTTGTGATAAAATCTTTTGATCAATCAAAATAATAGCTAAAATAACATGTACAAATATATATTGTCACCGTTTTACTTGGGTTTCAAATATTTTATATCTTCTTACGTGCTCAACACGTGTTTCAAGTCAGGTGGGAGAGATAAGATAAATAACTAAAAGTTGATAACGTGTATTCGTTTAATTACTAGTCAGCTAAAAAGTGACTTAAGAAATCTTCTTATAATTTAATGTGTATTTAATAA